ACAGTTTAACAGTCGAACTCCTGATCCTCAGTCGTTAGGTCCCTTAACAACCCCCCTCCAAAGCATACCTCCACATACAGCTAAGTACTCTGCAGTTCTGCTCCTACATCCAATCTTTGAATGAGACTCGAGTGTCTGCGATCAAATTGCACTTCATGTTTGTGTCATTGAGCCAGTTCCCCTTTACCTTCCCTCCACTTCTACGAAGAAGTTGGAGTGTTTGGACGGTCCAAAACAGTCTCATGACACCATCCCAAGAGGCATAGTGAAGTCATTGCCGTTCAAGCAAGCTATCAGAACTACAAGCCCTCACCCCCATCAGCTTCTCCAAGAAACAGAAACTTACCCTCTACTTTGCACCCCCCTCCCCCCCCCAAGTTAGGGTTAGGTTTCCTGAGGTTGCATCAGCGCAAGCCATGCTACTTAAATAGAGCAAGACAGATAGAGTTAAATAAGTATGAAACACTGAGTTGGATCAGTGATGTACATGAAACAGTTTCACTGGGTTGTATCAGTGATGAAGATGAAATGTGATAGGGATGAAATGTGATGTAGGTGAAACATGATATAAGTGAGATGCAATATACATGAAACACTGATGTAGTTGAAACACATCAAGTGATGGGATCAGTTGTAATAGTACAGGGTCAACGACAAATAGTTAGGAAAAGAAAAAAAGAACCTCCCCTGGGACTGTAACACTTATATATGTCCTGGTACCACATGATTGAATGGCAACCATCTGAGCTTTATGAAATATTTACCACATGATATAACTTGAAATTTGTATAGCTGATTATAGACAATATTATCTAGAGTAGAGAAATGTGCATGCTGTTCTGCCCATGAGGATGTTTGGCCAATGCATCTGATGAGTTGGAGGCCAAGCAGAGGCAATATGACCATGATAGTGCCATATCAGACACATGGTCTGTGCATGCAACTATGCAGTATAAAGACTACATTAAAGCATCAAGAATCCTCACCACTCTGGCCTTTTAGCTTAGATCAAGTGTAGTATCTATTCTTTATAGGTAAATCACCATTATAGAGGCACCACCTCCATTCTTGGTTATCTTATTTTTGCCACCCTTTGTTGGTGAGCTCTGCATACAACTCAACAACATGATGATCTTGCCATTGCAGTATTGGCTTGTGTTGTCAGGGGATCTTGCTATTTCTTTTTGTTCTTCTTTCTCAGTTGTCAGTTAGCAAGCTGAGGGAGATTGACAAATGGGATAGGCTTTGATATGTTCCACTATATGTGTTCATGCAATCTGCAGGAATACTTTTATGTGTCTGGAACTATAATAATTTATGAAGTATAAAAACATGTACTGGGATGTGAGGAAGTATATGCAGTGATGTGGAATGGTGGCATTAAGCCTTGCAGAGATCAAGGTTGAAATACTTTCCAAGATGTGGCTCACTGTCATAAGGATTAATATTCTGCAGCCAACCATTCACTGTCTGATGCAAGCTGAAAAAGTATTAGACACATTCTGAACTATCAGAGCACAGGACCAATCTTACTAATCCAAGTTGTTCTGGCAGCGACAACAAGCACTATGTGCTGCAGCAGTGGCTTGACTCTAGTCGAGTCGCGAACATTCAGCCTGCGCGACCTCCTGATATCGACGACAAAGTCATTACTCACGAAAGTCAGACCCTTCGGCCAGCCATTGTAGTTTCCTAGTGTTAGCAGGAAACTACCGCCATTGCGCTTCAGAGTCGTGCTGAGATACTTGGCGCCCATGCGAATGTTATACGCCTTTTCAATCGCACGCTAAGAAGTCCACCCCCAGCTGACTTTGGACGTGGTCCAGTATGAAGAACGTACCGGATCTCTGCAATTCCCATTTGGCGCGCCACCACATTTATCGTGCGTCAGCTGCATAAGGCCTTGCTCGCCACCACCTCCAATAGTCACTGGATTACAGGAGCTCTCTTGCATTGCAATTGCCGCGATCAGGATAGGAGGAACTAATCATTGATTCCGTTAGCGGAAAGAGAAACGTGCGTCTTTCGCTAATCATCTAGCTTACGGCCGAACTCAGTGGCGTACCGCTCGAATAGCGTGAGGTACGCTCTACATGCCTTGAACGGGCTCCTGGCATCCTGTAGGGCTTCTGTCAAATTTTTAGCGATGAGATCCACCACCCGGACAAAAGGCGGTCGCCAGCCACTGTCTTCGACCCCGCAGTTGAGCCAGTCTATGCTCCCATTAGGACCGCTGGTTGCAGTAACGTTCCCTAGCCAAATAGCGGTCTGTTTATCAGCGGAGCCACGGTAGACATAGATGAGTCTCACATGTAGCTCCAGTGGGACCACATGATGACTTCACGTCGATCAGACCTGACACTGTCTTGATGCTAGCAGCGGCCAGGTTACTTTCTGTGGACAAAATACTTGAAGGCAAATTCTCGACCTACACAACAGTTAATTTGGAATGCTGCGCTTCTCACAAACTGCGCACCTTGAACCTCGCATCGGCCTGAGCGCATCGGCCGTGGTTCGACTTTGCGCGGCGGTTTAGTCGAAGGTATTTTCCTTGCGCCCGGATGATCTCGCCATTGGTTTGACGATCAGAAGCGTGCACGCAACTAGCGGCAGCAGTGAAGAGAATTAAAAGAGCGGATATATGCATTACTAGGTCTATAAGTTAAGTTACTGTGGTGAAGGATGATGGTAAGTTCGGAAGTTCCTAGACGCGCGGGCGACGGCGAGCGACGGGCTGTCATAGATCAATCAGCTGCCTCTTTCGCTTTGTTAATAACGTCCCCTGGGCTGCGCGGCGGCATGCTCAGCAATATATTTAACTTGAGTATATTCTGAGAAGAAAAAAACTCGCAGAGTGCGACCGAGCATCGCAGCGAAGTATCACCGATTTTGAAGATGGGCGCAGCTCTGTCAGAGCCGGAGCCAAACATCTAAACTTACTTCATTCCCTCAATGTCCTACCGTCAACCAGTAAAATAGGCAGCGAATTTACACGCTCAGCGCTGTCATATCAGTTTAAACTGGGCCGTCCAAGGATCGAGAGGATCAAAATTGACAATATGACTGATAGAGTTCCACAGTCAGAACTATGTAATACAATCAAGAAAATTCAAATTCAAATTGAAGCTAGCGCTCGCAATGTCAGTCTTTATGGTCATAGTCTTCCCCTCCTCTGACGCCCTCGGAAAACTGTTCTCTGGTTCAGCTTTCCCCGGTTGATCGCCAGGGTGGGGGGTCAATGGGGAGGCGGCATCAGAACACACCCAGTCGTCATCCGAGAACCAACTTTCGACGTTCGCAAGATCTGCTTCTTCCGGAGAGCAGCCCTGAAACTGGGTCAGGAATGATATCAACTCGACTCAACATCATTTGGACGATGGAAATATCACCTGCAACTCCTGTAATTTCGGGGGCTCTTGTTCACGTAGGCACCCCGAGGGAGTCGTAGGCATAACTCCGGTCCCGTCGTCCATTAAGATCGGTGTATCCAAAGCTTTGACAAGGAAAGACCCTAAATTAGCGAGTGGCGAGTTCTGCAGGAGCGCCAAGGAGCCAATGCTGATAGACACATTCGTCGTTGTGGGATCGTCTGGGGGAACGTGTGGCACATTTTGAGACAGCTGCCATTCGTATTCGCGAGGCGAGAGGGGAGGACTAGGCTGAATATTGACACTCTCATCGCGATGTTGGTTCTCGTCGATGGGCGAAGGGTCGGGTGGTTGGGGTACAGTCTCAGCGATCGGAAAAGATACGACAGCCAAATTTGAATGGCGCGAAGGGGACTCTCGAGAGGTGGGACGAGAGGAGCGAGCAGCAAATTGAGTAGACACACGATAGGAGTTCGTATAATGAGAAGAATGATAAGGCAGATCCATGAATGTAAATCGATGCAAGTGCTGCGTACGCAGGATCTTCTCCGACTTCTCCTGGCAGAAATCGGAGTCAAAGTTGGCAGCCATTCTACGTTTCAGCCGACGTCTTCTGAGTTGAACCGCTAAGATAAAGGCACAGATCAAAAGAATCGTGGACAAGATGACGGCGAAAGAGACTGAATAAACAAATGCAGGAGAATCGTCTGTAGACGAGCTGTTGCCCGAGTTTTGGTCTGCAGGTATGTCGCCAGTATGGGGTAAGGTCGCTCGCGCAAGCTCAGCGTGCCCAGTGGACCGAATATCCAGTATAGCAGAGGCAGCAGATGTGAGAGTGATGGCAAGAACCTGGATGTACGCTATGAGAGGAAAATGACCGACCTTGCGAGCCATCATACGTGGTGCAAACGGCGGGGAATCAGTGTGTTTGTGCTACGGAACGGGCTCTCGCGCCTCCGGGCTGCGATCGTCTGGCTGACACGGAATGAGGAATTTCTTGCGGCTGGCAGTAAACATTCGGCGGATAAATTCACGCACTGCAACATGACCGTCGGTCGGCTTTCAAATTAGAGATTTACAACTGCCCTGGCGGCGCTGGCTCGAGGCCTCTATGGTCAGAACACGCGCATAAGCGGCCGCCAGTCGGGTCGTCGCCATTCGGGTACAGTGATGCCATGACAATTACGTCGGCAAAAGAGGGGACGGTTTCTCGTGCTGGCAGCCAGTGCACAACTGAGAAAATTTTTCATGAATCCAAAGAGTTATCAGAGGGAGTCACTAGCCGGGCAAACGTAGTTGGCAACTGTAACGGTTGCCCTGCAAGTCGCTACGCAGCAGTACGTAGTTGTCAAGTGCTGGACTTATATGGCGTTCGCCAGCACTAGAACTTAAAGAAAACAATGGGAGTGATCACATGACCAGACAGCTTATAAGTATATTTATTATGCGGTTAAATGCTGTTTATAAGTAGCAAAGTAAGCCAATAGGTCTAGCTTCCGCAAATGTAAGGTATCTCTTGGCTTGACTTGTTCGGCCATCTCGCTTCGCGCTCTGCACATCGTTAGTCGTATCCTTCGCACCATTCCACTCGTTTTATTGCTTTTACGACCACTGAACGACAAGTACTATATGGCGGAACCTGTATTTGACGAACATCCGCTTGAGGAATACTTCAGACGTGGGTGACATCACATTCACCGCCTACATGGATTGATTGCTCTGCAGAATCCGGCGAAAACACACAAATTATACCAGGTGGTTCTACCGAGTTCTCAGCCGAAGAGGAATTACCCTCGGGATGTGTTCGATTGCCCTCGTTCCTATTGCGAGCTGTAGAGGTCTACTAATTGTTGCCACAGCCCCATATCTCTGCTAACCATATTCTCTTCAGTTCGTCCATCATATATATCCTTCGAGACCCTCTCCCGAAAACGAGTTCGCTGAACGCTTCAAATACGACGTCATCTCGTCGTCCTTACTGTCCACCTCGATAGCAGCCCCACCTAGCGCAAGCCGTCGCACTTTCTTGCCAGAGCTTCCCGGTAAACTCGATGACGAAGGGGACGACTCAACATCCGCCACCGTCAAGAGCAATCGTCGAGCCTTAACGCCACCCTTCTTCACCGAGCTTCAATGGCCTGTCTTGCTCATTTCGTTGGCCGTGTTTGCACTCGCAGCAGAGTTCTATTTCTTCGCTATCTTCTTCATAGGTGGCGCCACATATGGCTGGCATTCAGTCAAGGCGCACGGTGCAAAGGCAAATACGATGTCAGCAGTGAGTACTACTATGGATATGTTGAACTTGGCCATCATAATTCGGGTTCTCGTAGATGCTGCTTGGTCTGAACGAGCTAATATCTGCCGGCAACGTCTGGGATTCTGCAGTGAACGAGGCAGTGTCAATCATTGAGAAGGAAGAACGCAGGTACAGTGGTTTCCTCGTGCCTATCCGCAACTCTAAATATGCACCACGATAGTATCTTCTACGGGCCCAGCAACGCTCACTCGCCATCCTCTGGTCTTCGTGTAACTCTCCAGTCTTCGTCGCACACGACCCAAGTCCAGTGTGACAATGTCCGACAGCTGCTCTCCGCACTAACGGATCCTTCGCAAGTTACCCAGCTTTCCGAAATGTATGCCCCAGCCTCTCCTGTGCAGCCAGCATTCTCCATCCTTGACCATCCGCGACCTGTTTCCGATCCAATTGGGAGGCATCGAGCTGTGTCTCCACTCATGAACAAAAGGGCAACTTGGAACGGGTCTTACGCTGCTCTGGCACTTGCAGGCAGTCCGACGGCTCGCTTGAAAAAACGCAGGAGTGGGGTAATGGGGCTGCTGAACCCAACAGCGGAAAGGATATATGCGAGCATGAGCGCGCCTGTAAGCCCTCATGCACCAGTGTCTCTACAGGACGTGCAGGAAGAGGAGGATAGCGAATCATCATCGGAGTCACATCTACCTCAAGGGGAGTTTTTTGGAGCTGCGGCGCTGGATTTGCGGAGAAAACGGCGAGTGGCAGGCCTCGAAGCTATAAGTATTCCTCCTCCAAGCTATTCTCCACGACCAAATCGCGGCAGCGGTTCCATGGCTTTCAATCCCGTATTACCGTCAATCTTGTCGTCGTCACGATTCACTTCGGTACATACGACTCGACATCCTCTTTCGTTGTCAGGTCTGCAGATGGCATTGCACGGCGCCCTCTCGGCGAAGCGCTACGCATGCTCACACTTACTGGCCTTGCGATTTGATGAGGACGAGGATCACTCATATTGGGAGGACGTGCGGTCTGTAATGGCGCTCCTCACGAGCACGTTTGAGGACGCGTCGGCAAGGCTGATGGAGGCCCTTGACGATGCAGAGAAGAAGCGAGTTAAGGACCAAAGGCCGAGTCCTGAACGTTCCGACGGCTCACCGGTGCGTCCAGCGCGGAGTATGGCTGAGATGATCTCGTTTGCTCCCATGCCGAGTCACCTTACGCGTTTTGCGGCACACGTCGACGCAATTTCGTCCGCTCTGAGCGATGCGAGGGAGCATCTCGAGGAGTGTGTTGCCTCATTGCGCAGTCAAAGAACACTAGGAGACGACACTTCTGGGGACATATTGTCCGTCCCCTCACCGCAGGGGCATCCAGCGTTCCAAGCATACGACCGTCTCAGAAAGGAGCTTGGCTATGCCCTTCGCGAATGCGAACGCGGGCGTGAGCGTTTGCTCGACATCGTTTCCCCAAAGGTGGCTGGTAGAGAAGGCGCGGACGCCGATCTTGACGAAGACGATACACCTGGGCTCGGACATGATGACGGCAGCGACGCATCTGATAAATTGGGCCCTACATCTCCTGCGCTTCCCGGGCGAGCAATTCCGGAAGAACAGGCCCGACTCGAAGCAGCACCCCGCCGCTACGACGACGATTTCGATGATGCTACTGCGCACCTCCTGCTGACGGCGACGTCAAAGCACCTCCCACCGCCGGGTGTCGAGCAGGTATTTGAAGCTGACACTGGAGGCGTGGCGCTGTTCACTCGTGAGCGGTCAACGCTATCGCGAGAAGAGCGCATCAAGCTTTCCAAGGCACGCAGAGAACAGAGTCAGTCCGGGTCGATGTCGCTGTCCGAACCTTCACAGCGGCCACTCAACGCCAGCTGGGCACCTGGAGGAGAGGTGGTGCAGGAGCTGAAAGATGTGATCTGGAAGGTCAGTGAGCGGCGAAGAAAAATGGCAGAGCTGTCTGAGTCCGAGCAACTTGGCATGGCAGCTGATACCCCACGGACGGATGATTCGCCTGGTCTTGACGTGCATGTTGAGGATTCATGACGACATCTACTTTGCTTGGTTCTCAATGCTTATGGTTAGTTTATAGCTACTATGTAATGGGTGCGCGTGCTAGCGGCCCCCTGCGGATCTAACTGTATCTTGGTTTTGAATATCTCGTAATGCTATCGCTAACTCTGCAGTTTCCGAGATGCGTGCTCGTGTGTGCCCTAGCTCATCTATGCATGGTCGCTGCACTTATACGCAGTACGCGTTAAGATCACATGACCGAGATGTCGCATGCACGAAACTGGAACCACTTACGGTGTCACCGTATCACCGTTCGACTCTCACTGTCAGCAACTCATTCTTGCTCCCATGCACTCGTCTTTATGGGCCGTAAGTTTGAAGCAAAAACGACACATATTCTGTGGTGCTTGATGATTTCAGCCCTACTCCCAGTAGAAAATTAGGTATGGCGGTCAAAGCGGGAGGACCTGTACTTGAAATTAGCCAGTCGGACCGAGAAGTCGTCGACGCCCGCACTGATGAACACTTACTGATGAACAGTTTGTTCTCCCTAGACATGCCCATGAGAGCGTACCGCCCTTCCATCTCCCATCTATCTGTCCTAAGGACGTCGTCCTTGATATGAGGATGTAGAGTCAACGACAGGAGAACCACTGCAACATCGGGGCATATAACCAACGCATGCTTGACACATGCACGTACACGATGTCTCCACGCGTCCTAACACTCAGTGGTAATCGGTGAGTACACCTAATAAGTCCCATCATAGTCAACATCTAAATTTGAAACCCTGTTGACTTGACCGTCCTTCTAGCAGCTAAAGTAGATATTGGCCTGATCCCCATCTTGTACCCATCATCATGATTTGATCGCCCAGTCCCCGACTCGCCAGGAACATTGGACTGATAGGGACCTCATCACGAAGCGCGCGCATCTACCCAGTTTCTCCCACTCTCAGTACTCTACTGCCTTAAGGGTACTGTGTCGCTCTAGCCAACACTTGGGCCGCTCTAGTCATGCTTCGAAAAACGCTCCGGATGAAGGACTTCGCTTATTCGACCCGGCGTGTTCTGTACGTTCTACTGTCCTCGTGCCAGGGTTCCAGAACACTGGTCAGAGCCAATGGCAAGCTTATTTTGCCTGCGCTCACCATCGCGGCAGCGTCGGACAGTCCACGGCCTGAGTGCTAACATTGTGCGCAAGCAGTGAGCGCACTGGAATGGCTGTAGCAATATCACCCGGCAGGACGACTACTGGGATTTTATCGGACACGAATACCATTTCCCCCTGGCGTAATCGCTGTTCAAACAGCGTCATTCGTGTCCGCATTCACAGACATGTCAACTTTTGTATATGTGAGAGACTGGTCGTGAGACGTACGCGGGTCATTCCGAGTCTGTCTCCTACGATCTATTCAACACTCCGGCATCTCACGTCGGGGGCGCCCAAAACGATGTACTGGCAGCCACTTTCCATTTTTCAGCGGGGCCGCGTTGAGTCAACGTTCGATCTCAATGATGGTAGGTGCTTCGCGTACGTTGTACCTCCCGAAGTTCATACAAATATACTCGTCAATACAATAGGTTTGGGCACAACAGCTCCCGCTGTGCTCAGATGATGGCATGTCCGCACGACGATAAGCAGAACCGAACACGTCCCTCAAAGTCACATACATTATCTTTTATCTCTCCCGGTGAAGACACAGCGCAACAGCGTGATTACCGTCGCATGAGTTGCCAATATCTGGGACCCAATATCGGCAGCTACGCACGTAATGCAGCACATTATGGGGATCTACCTCCGCTGTGAGGCCCGTAAAAATGTAGGATTAGAATGAAGTGCGCCTGCATCTCTACTTTAGCCGGTATCACGATGCCGTGCATCCGCCTGATCACTGCGTATCATATCATACTTATCACATTTTACCTCTGCGCGCGCAGGATATTCTCGCCGGCATACACTCCGTCTCCACAGTACCGGTGCGCTTATAGCTTCGTGGCGCTCCCAGGCTGAGCTCTGATCAGAGATCACGTTTAGCTGGACGGGTACTGCGATAGGCTGGCCACTGTGATACAGCAGCTTCGATACACACGACATGGTCGTGTCCGACCCGACCGAGGCCCGACGGACCGACGTCGAGGCGCACGAGACTGGCTCGCCGGCATCCACGCTCCATGTCTGGCGAGGTATTTTTGCGGAGGAGAGGCTTGCAGACTTCTCTTCGTTAGCCGAAGCACAGTGGTCCGTACGGACCTCGAGGCTCGCAGCCAGCTGGGGCTTATCGCAGGGTCAATGTCTGCAGCTCGCATACTCCACCGCGCGGTCCCCAACTAGTGCGTCTGCCCACGTCGCACGACGCCAAGTTCGACGCTGGCGGAAGTGGCGCGTTCGCCGCCATGGGACTCAGTGCTCCACATGCATATCAACTCCATATATACCCGCACCCAACACACCAGTACGCATGTGCCACGATTGCGGCACACTGGTTATCGGTTATCTCCCCGCGAGCGGTCGCTCTGCTCAGGAGGGGAGACTCTGCATCACCCAGATCAATGCATCATCCGGGCCTCGACTCACGCGATCAGCTTCCGCTCGGCAGGCGGCATGTCCAGTCACGCGTCACGACCTCTTCCGAAACAGGAAATGGCTCCATGCTCTTGCGGGCGTCTACACGGGCGCCTATCCATTTAGAGGCAAAAATGGCCACAACTCGTGCTAACGCATACGTCACACAATCACAACATGAACTGGTGGTCGAAGCGATCTAGTACGATGCGGATTGATCACTAAGTAGAGACGCCTCCCGCGAGAGCCCCCGGGAGCTCGACGAGGCTGATGCGGTTGCAGGTCAGGCTCGCTTGCACGGGGACTGGCCTCATCGGCGGCGGTCTCAATCAAGGCAAGTCTCACTACAATATGAAGCAATGGGCTCGATCTAACTTTGCCGGATTTTCATTTCATTCATGCCATCGCCATATTGATCAGTGGGCCAATGAATTCGCAGGAGGGTCAGAAATGTGATGACGACATGATTTTCGGAGCAAATATATCGGACATTGCAGCAGGCGCTGGCGACATCCGTGCCCTGCGTCTAGGCCGCACCCCACGCGCATGCCCTCAGCCCGGAGGAGCACGAGGCCACCAGTGCAATCTGCACGGTGTAGCGGGAGCGATCGGTGCATCACGAACGTGTCTGGCTCCACGGACCTGCCCAGGACACCAGCCGAGCCTATGATTAAATCGTGGTCTGCACGGCCAGGCCTGCACGGTGTCCGTGAATTTTGCAACGCCTTTGTGGCGCGGGATCACGATGGATCGTGGATTCGGGATCGCGCACGGTGCAGGCGAGCCGCGGGGGCACCCTGTGCGTGTACGCCGCGCGTTCTCGTGACAGGGCGAGCGATACGAGGAATCAGGATGCCTGGCGTGCGCATCAGCGGCAGCTGCATGGCTGGGAGCGTACGCGTGCCTGGCGAAGCGCAGAAGGCGTGCGCGGCGCGTGTGCATTGCGGAACGCTGGCCGTGGGGTAGGCTGCGAGGGTACGCGCGGGGAGGGAGAAAGTTCACACTGGGCTTAGCGGAGATTCCCACACCGCCCGATGGAGGTGTCGGTGTGCTGAGGGTGTGGGCGACAATGTGAGAGCGCATGGCGCGGGAACGAGCGGTTCGGTGCAGCGGAAGTATGAACGCACTTGCAGTTAGCTTAATACTGTGCTCGGGGACAACACGGGCGTGCATCACCGGAGCGAAGTCTAATGGTAATATTGAGTATAGTGGGCGAGCATATCAGCTTCTGGTGATGAACCAACCAATCGGGCGGGCGATCAGTGCGGGCAGTGCGAGCACAGGCAAGATGGCCTTGTTGGTTGTTCTAGATACAGACAACTAGGGCAAAGTTGCGACAAGAGGAGTGATGTAGTGGTTTGTTGGAATGGAGTGCATCAGCGACGTCAAGGGCTATCAGCGGGAGGAAATGGGTCCGGTAAGGCGTCAAACGGACCAGTTTCGCAAACGAGAGACGCGTAACAACCACAGGAAAGGGCGTCTGGGCCACGGCAGGAGTATGAAGAGGAGGAGGAGGAGGAGGAGGAAGAGGAAGAGGAGAGGAGAGGGGACACTAGAGGAGGGACAAACTGTACAAAGTTGGTTTGTGGTCGAGCGTGGTGGCGGAGAACACGTGACTGCAAGCGATAGAGGGAGCGCGCTGGATGCGGCAGGACCCTCAAATCGAGATTTATTGGGAAAACCGCGCAAGAGGTCGCCGCACCGCCTTTCCTCTCTTTCTCTTCCTCCTGCATGCCCTCGACGCCCCCGCCCCCGCCCTCCCGCCCGCCCGTCGCCCACAGCCTCTAGCTCG